GGCGAAGGTGGCGAAGGTGGCGACGATGCGGGAGTAAGGATGACGAGGGGCGAGAGAGAGAGAGAGAGAGAGAGAGAGAGAGAGAGAGGAAAATTAAGGACGGTGGAGAGAAACGTATCGGCGGGCTATCCGACGCGTCAGGGTCATTACCGGATCATTACCTTTCATACCTACCGTACGACGACGATGATGGCCCGACTTGCGGGAACACCGAGAGAGAGGAGAGTCGGCCTCGCAGCGGTACGCGCGATGCTCGCGCCGCAACGGACCACTCACACTCGCGAGCTACTCGCCGTACGCGGCTTCCACGTACGATCGGTCGTTACGCACACAGAAAGGAGAACGGTTCGTAGCTGTGACTCGCACACACTCAGAGGCGGCTCGATCGCGCGTCGGACCGCTCGGCGGCAGCCGGGTAAATTACAGGCTCGACCGTATTTTGCGTTGTTTTGTTGTTTTTCAACGCGCCGAAAGGAAATGAGCGAGCAAACGCGTCACGCCACCCCGAACCTGCTAATTTCTATTCATATTTTATGGCTATTAATTTCTTCACTGTTACACTCGCTCTTTCTCTGCTCCTTTCTCCCTTTCTTTCTTTCCTTCCTCGCGCGTTCTCTGCCTGCTTCGCCCCTCGACTTCTTTCGAATCTTCTTACCCGTATTTCAGTGCGATCGCTCGCTCGTTTCTCATTTACCCTTCTTCTTTTTTTATCTCCCCCTCTCCCTCTCCCATCCTTAACCTTCCCTCTCCTCCGGCTCTTCTTTCCGTTGCTTTTTCTTTCGCTTTTCCGACGCGCTCTGCCCTTCGTCTTTCCTCCTCTTCGGAATGCGAACGTCAAGTTAACTCTTATACATAGGTAGAGTGGTCGTCGATGACTCTGGTAAGTAAAAGTTAACTTTTCCTCGCGTCCACGAAAGATCATTTTCTCGTTCACGAGATAGGCGTAAAAGAGTAACCGACGCGAAGCCGCGCCGCTCGATGAACTACCTTCGGCCATCAGTGGGGTGTAACCTATTATTATCTACCACTTACCTAATGCCCTGTGTCAGCCTCGGGGTAGGCGGAGAATAACAGGCTCCCCATTCGATGGAATCCCCCTCTGAACTCGCTAATATCGCGAGCTCCGCTAAAACGCCGAACCGTTTTACGCGGCATCGAAAGCACGCTCGCGCCTGCCTACTGGAAACACCTCCAAAGTCGATTCCTCCACTTTTTCCCCGGAAGCTGCCCTCTTTCTCGAGATCGCCGCGAATCGCGTCGTTCCACGATAGACACGGGAACGAACGAGTTTCGTCGAGCAAGCAGGCTCGCGTGAGAAACGACGGAATTCTCCTTTCGAGATTGCTGCTCGTAGCGGTGAAGCCTTTCCGCCGCGCCGGTTCGCCAGGCCAGAACGCGAAACCACGCAAAGACGTCGCTCGTTCGCTCTCTCGCTCGCTCGCTCGCTCGCTCGACGGAAATCGCCGAAGAAAAACTCGAGACACGCGAAATAGTCGGCCACGCTCGGCTAAGCTCCGAGCAGCGATCTCCTCGACCCGCGCGTGTCAGACTCGCGAAGAGAGAGGTGAACGAGTGAACGAACCAACGAATCAACGAACGAAAGAAAGCGATCGGGTAAAGATGTTGAGAATATTGGAGCGTTGTTTATAGATGGGCAATGTTCGAAGGGCGTAGCCAGAGACGTCGTGGACACTTTAATGGGTAACCGCGGTGGCCTTTAATTAGAACGTTTCGAGCGTAACCGCGCCATTACGGAGAAAACGCAGACTCGTCAGATCGACGAGGAATATTTATTGCTCGGTGTAACAATTACGGGAGGGCCGGCATAGCACGAATAGTAATAGGCGACCGCCTCGGGCCGCTCTCTCGTCCTGGCGAACGACTGTAATTAGGGCTTTTATTGTCTGTACATAAGGAAGCTTTATGAAAACATTAAGGATATAATTCAAGGCCGGGAGGCTACGCCGCGTCGTGAATTGCAACCAGGGTTAATGCGTATAGAGACTCTTTGCTGCGTCATTTCCGCTTCGCGTACACAGGTGCAACGCGAGTCGTGCACACGCACGCATGCTGCTGCCTTCCTTCTCGAACATTCTTCAGCCTACTGTATCGGCTCCGCTTCGCTTCCAATCACCGATCCGAAATGGTCGCGAGTTCGCGAGTTCGCTGTTCGTACGTGTCGACTAATAGAGTTCGGCCGTTTGACAGCGATATTTCAAAGGAACGAGAAGAGGAATGGCCATGGACGCGGCGGTGTGTGGTCCGGCACGTTCGAGCGGACGGCGATTAGCCGCGGGCCCCCCTAATCCCTCGCCTTTTTCAGCCGGGACTACATATATAGTTTCTTCGGGCCCTTCGCTCTTTCGCGCGCACTCTTCCTTCCTTCTTCCCTTTCGCCAGAAACGTCTGAAACGCGAGCGCCACGCTCGTCAACCGGAATTCGCGTAATCGAGATCTCTGCGGCGTGTCGTAATATCGCGACGTCCGAGACAGGTTCGAAGCCGTTCTACCGTTTTCCAAACTTGGTTTTGGTGGATTCCTCGCCTAGGAGGTCCAGAATTCACCTTCCGAGCAGATCGCATAAACGCGTCTCTTCCAGGCGTCCTTTGGTGTCGCGTTACGCGCTAAGCGGTATAGTCGGCTGGTAACCGAGACGCGCGCGCGAACTGCTCACCGGAGCCATTGTTCCTCTTTCACCCTTTACATCTCCTTCGCCTTCTTTTTCCCTTTGTCCTTTTATACACATATCCCTCCTTTCTTCACTACTGCACACCACACTCCTCTGTTACGCGATCGTCGTCGCGTTACCCTTTCGTCGTTCCGCGTTCGAACGGGATTATCGTCTCTCTATCACGGCTGAGAGATGGTAACCGTGAAAGAGAATCTCCAGACGTCCCGAGAGGTTTCTCGAGCTTTCGAGGAATCGGATGATCGATAGGAGGTATCACGCCGCCGCCGGTATCAGGTTTTCTTTCGACCACTCGACGGAGCCTACCGAACTGCGCCGGTCCATCGACCGAGATCCTTTTCTCGGGGAGCGACGCGGGTGGGACGACCGCGTCGCGGCCACCCGACGCGACGCGACGCGACGCAACAGAGGAGCTCCTATTTCGGAAAGTCCGCGTTCGAATTTCGCCCGCGAGAACACCCCTCTTTCTCGTCGGAGGGTCGGAGAGAGGGCACGGACACAATGAAGTCTTAATAATCTTCGAGATAGTCGCGGCGATAATCGCACGGTGTTTACGTACCACTCCCGCGCGTAATCACGAAAGTAGGAAATGACGGTGCAACGTGCGCACGACTTGGCAATGATACCGACCATTAATTATCGCGACTATCACGCGAACGCCACGAAGGAGAGACGGCACGCTTTTTCATTCGACCGGTCGGCCAATAATTCGCTCGTTAGCGTCCTGCCAATACCGACGACCGATCGACCCGAGCGTACAATCGCCCGTAATTAACCCTAATTAAGCTCGCGCGTCTAATGCACCAAATCATCCATCACGTTTACTCCGTCGAGGCACGCGGACGTCAATGAGAAAACGTCGTCTTAATTATCCGTCCGCCGCTCCTGTCTCTCTCTCTCTCTCTCTCTCTCTCCCCCTCTATCCCTGCGAAATCTCATCGATTCATTCTCCTTCGAATGCCACTTAAGTGCCTCGATAACATCGATCGGTTAATCACGGGTACGCGCCTGCCTCTGTCCGCCGATCTTATCGAGCCCGAAACTTTCCTCTATCCTTGGAAAAATCTTCCCAGCTAATCTTCCCGCTGTGTCTTTCTCTCGCTTCAGGGACCCGATGGAGCTGATGGAGCAACAGTTGGTCAGGTGTGGCGTCGCGCCCGTCCGATTGTACGAACAAAAAAAGCAACAGCAGTCCCAGCAGCAGCAACAGCAACAGCAGCAGCAGTCGCAACACGACACCTCTCCGCACGCGTTACCGCCTTGGATAACGCCCTCGACGGCCCTTCTTTACGGGAGCGTGGGCCAGCCGCATCCTGGAAGCAGGTCCGCCACCGGATCCACGTCTCCGTATCCGGCCGCGGCGGCCACCGCGCCCTTCCCCTATCCCGCGGCCTTGCCCTGGCCCTGGCAGCCGCCGCCAGTCGCCATCATCTCGCGAAGATCGTCGCCTCCTACCGCCGCCTCCCTCAGGTACACCCCGTATCCACCCCCGGCCAGCACACCACCGCCCCTCAGACCCCGTCCACCCACCCCTAATTAGCGGTTCGCCACGGGATAATCTCTCGTCGCGCTTCTCTTCCTACCCGCTGGGAAGAGGACGGGACGCACAGCCAAAGAAGAATTCCTCGGGTCTAGGTTTCTCGGCCGTCGCCGAGCTCGATTTCACGATTTCATTGTATGTACAGAGAATAGGTGTCCTCTACTGTGTCGTTTGTGTCGAGCGTTAAGTTAAGTTAAGTTAGTTTTAGGGAAATGGCCCGTACTTGTCCGCTCTTTGTGTCCGCGTAATGTAACCGTAGACCCTCCGACTTTGAATTCGGGAGGGAAGAGGGTC